AGTGTTTCAAAGCAATGTAAAGCATGTATATGAAGATAAGCTTCTATACAAAGCATGTATAAGCTGTAAAATCTTTTTTTTCAAACAGAGTTAGTTCGTGCATGCAATGGTAGAAGTACAGCTTGCACTTTATGAAAATGCAGCTCTTATTTGCATTGCATATGCATGGTTCTAATATGTTAGAGCTTTTATACATGACTAGAACATGTAATATCTTCCATACACAGAAAGAGAATGAATGTTAGTGTTTCTTAGCAATACAAAGCATGCATATATAACACAGCTTCAATACAAAGCGTGCATATGCTGTAAAACGTCTTTTTCAGCCAGAGTTAGGTCATGCATGCAATTATACAAGTACATGGAGCACTTTCTAAAAGTTTTTTTCACATTTGCGACAAGTTCTCATTTGCAATGCATATACACATTTCTAATGTCTTAGAGCTTTCATGCATAACTATAAAAAGTTAGAGCTTCTAAGCAAGGAAAGAGAATGTTAGTGTTTCTAAGCAATACCATGTATATCCAGTAAAGCTTCAATACTAAGCGAGCATATGCTGTTAAACTTCTTTTTCAGCTAGAGTTAGTTCATGCATGCAATTCTAGATGTAGACCTTGCTCTTTGTTAAACTGTTGCTTACATTTGCAACAAGTTCTTATTGGCATTACATATGTACATTTCTAATTTGTTAGAGGGTTTATGCATAATTAGAACATGTAAGATCTTCCATGCACAGAAAGATAATGTTAGTTTTTCTAAGCAATACAAAGCATGCATATGCAGTAAAGCTTCAATACAAAGATTGCATAAGCAGTAAAACCTTTTTTTCCAAACAGAGTTAGTTCATGCATGCAATCTTAGAAATACATGGAGCACTTTCTAAAAGTTCTTCTTACATTTACGACAAGTTCTTATTTGCATTGCATATACACATTTCTGATGTGTTAGATCTTTCATGCATAACTAGAATCTGTTAGAGCTTCTACACACAGAAAGAGAATGTTAGCGTTTCTAAGCAATACAAAGCATGCATATCCAGTAAAGCTTCAATACTAAGCGTGCATATGCTATGAAAAATCTTTTTGAGCCAGTTAGGTCATGCATGCAATGTTAGAAGTACAGCTTGCACTTTGTGAAAATTTTTCATGCAGTTCTTATTTGCATTGCATATGCATGGTTCTAATATGGTAGAGCTTTTATGCATAACTAGAACATGTTAGATCTTCCATGCACAGAAAGAGAATGTTAGTGTTTCAAAGCAATGTAAAGCATGCATATGAAGATAAGCTTCTATACAAAGCATGCATAAGCTATAAAATCTTTTTTTTCAAACAGAGTTAGTTCGTGCATGCAATGGTAGAAGTACAGCTTGCACTTTGTGAAAATGCAGCTCTTATTTGCATTGCATATGCATGGTTCTAATATGTTAGAGCTTTTATACATGACTAGAACATGTACTATCTTCCATGCACAGAAAGAGAATGTTAGTGTTTCTTAGCAATACAAAGCATGCATATATAATACAGCTTCAATACAAAGCGTGCATATGCTGTAAAACGTCTTTTTCAGCCAGAGTTAGGTCATGCATGCAATGATACAAGTACATGGAGCACTTTCTAAAAGTTTTTTTTACATTTGCGACAATTTCTCATTTGCAATGCATATTCACATTTCTAATATCTTATAGCCTTCATGCATAACTATAATATATTAGAGCTTCTAAGCATGACTAGAACATGTTAGATCTTCCATGCGCAGAAAGAGAATGTTAGTCTTTCTTGGCAATATAAAGCATGCATATGCTGTAAAACGTCTTTTTCAGTTAGGTCATGCATGCAATGTTAGAAGTACAAGGATCACTTTCTAAAAGTTTTTCTTACATTTGCGACAAGTTCTTATTTGTAATGCATATACACATTTCTAATGTCTTAGAGCTTTCATGCATAACTAGAATATGTTAGAGCTTCTACGCACAGAAAGAGAATGTTTGTGTTTCTAAGCAATACAAAGCATGCATATCCAGTAAAGCTTTAATACAAACCATGCATATGCTGTAAACCTTTTTTTAAGCCAGAGTTAGTTCGTGCATGCAATGTTAGAAGTACAGCTTGCATTTTGTAAAACTGTTTCATACAGCTCTTATTGGCATTGCATATGCATGGTTCTAATATGTTAGAGCTTTTATGCACACAAAATAAAATCCAGGCCTGGTCCTCTCTCGTCTTGCACTGTCGTCACTCCTCCTTTTATCCTTCTGGAGCTCCTCCGTGGGACTTGAGTGAGTGGCGCAGGTGTCGTGCATTATCACTTACTCCCCAGGCCTCGCTCCGTTCCCACGGCTATCGGCCCCGCCCCCACTGTCACAATCACATTTGTGATTTTTGCGAAAAAATGGCACTCTTTGTGTGATATTGATCAACTATATGAAATTATATAAATATACATTTTCTGCCCCCATATCTTGAATTTTGGGAGCATTCTAAATGCATTTTATGATACTGAATAATGCAGTGAAAGAACACACTCAATGAGCATTCAGTCTAGCTAGTGTTTAAGCACTCATAACTCCTCTTATAACCAATGAAGCTGTCCATGCACGGTATGATAAATTAATCTCTAACTTACATCATTCGTACATCTGCACTTTGTTGCTTATGATGAGGGAATTCGCGAGTTTCAGTCTGAACAAAACTCTGGGGTTTCAGCGATGACTAATCTGAATGCCTCTGATTGGCTACTGCATTCCTAAGCTCAACAGAATCGTGTTTGATTGGTTATAATGAGCAACGCTGTAAAAACGCGTAAAAATAAAATATTATGTTACATAAGCAGGTCTAAATTTAATACAGCACTCGAAACTTCATCTTAAGTATTAAAGTTTTATTAAAAAACCAGGGGAGCCCCCAAGTATATTTTTTTGAGTGTTATGGGGGTCTCTTAATGCTTATGGGAGGTCCGGGACCCCCCCAGCCCCCCTCAATTCGAACACTGATCATATGTATATAAAGTTTAATTTTATTTATTTTTTTATTAAAATTTTTTTGGTGGTGGGCTGGATAGGGGGACCCCCCAAGAGCTTTGACACAATTCGAACACTGGACAGCAAAGGTGACAGCAAACAATGTGGTGCAGGACGTGAAAATGATAACTGCATTTTTACAATCCACATTGCGCTGGGTGTATGATAGGGCCCTGTATATCGCTTGGTGTTAATCCAGATACAATTCTCTTAAAATCGCATGAATCATCCAAGGAACAAGGGCATACTGGCAGTATCTTAACAACCAAGCGTATTTTGTTACCACAAAAGACATCGAAAATATTCGGACATATATGATGTGAAAAAATCAGCAACACAAAGATGATGCTAATAGTACAACACAACTTCTTGAGGGTCCTTTCAAAGACTGTTATTTTTTTTCTTATCAGTCTTTCTCAAACAGACCTTGTCATAGTTCTACAAACACCAACCATGAGAGACAACCTTCAAGAATATGGAAGAGATATTGTTTTTATGGATGCAACTCATGGCATCAACCAATATGGCTTTCCTTATTTACATTAGTCATCAGGGACAGCCATGGTCATGTCCCATGAGCAAGCCAAAAGAAGGCCCAATGTCAGCCATTAATAAACCAAAAAAAGCAGAACTGGCCCAAATCTGGGCCACATTGATTTTAATTCTGGCCCAGCTCCGGCCCAGATCCAACACCTTGCCCCAGCCCACATACTGTGAAGAATAATGGCATTTGGGTGGACCACTCCTGTTTGCCAGATTTGGGCCACAAGCAAGTCAAAGGAAGGCCTAATGTCAGCCATGAACAAACCAAATATAGCAGAACTGGCCCAAATCTGCAGTTCTGCTATATACCACATTGATTTTAATTCTGGCCCAGATCCAACACCTTACTCCGGCCCACATACTGTGAAGAATGATGGCACTTGGGCGGTCCGCTCCTGTTTGCCAAATTTGGGCCACAAGCAAGCCATAGGTAGGCCACATGTCAGCCATGAAAATAAATAAATAAAATAAACCAGAATTGGCCCAAATCTGAGCCACATTTATTTTAATTCTGACCCAGAAACGGCCTAGATCTAACACCTTGTTTTGGCCCACATACTATGTAGAATGATGGCATTTGTGTGGTCCACTCCTGTTTGCCAAATTTGGGCTACAAGCAAGCCATAGGTAGGTCGCATGTCAGCCATGAAAATAAATAAATAAAATAAACCAGAATTTGCCCAAATCTGGGGGCTGTTTCATAAAAGACGCTAAGAAAAGCGGGGATTAAAGTCCAAAACCTGACTTGAAATAACCTAACAAATCAATCGGGACTAAAGCGGTTTCATAAACGACAATTTAAGTTCACGCAATCTCACTAATTCGAGCCAGGTTTGCATAGTCAAGATAATTGCGCGTACATACTTTTCCTAAGCAGCCCTAGAGGTCGAACATGGATCAAATCGATCGGACATGGCAAAAAGTAAAGAGAGAGCGGCGATGTTCAGTGCTACTGAGCAGCACCTGCTCTTAGAATCATACGAAGAAGTGAAAGATTTAATTACTAAGAAAGGTAATACTGCTGCAGTAAATAAAATAATAGAGAAAGGCTGGCAAATAATTGCTGATCGACTGAATGCGTTAGTAGCAAACTATGTTTAAATGTCTTTGTATAATATGATCTAATGAAATATCAGGCACATTCAAAAAGAAAAAATGAATGAAATATATATACAGTATATATATATATATATATATTTGTTTGTATGTATTGCTATGCATTTCATTTATTTTGAGCACACTTTTAAACAGCAGCAACTTCAGTGGGGAGAAAAGAACGTGGCAGCAGGTGAAAATTAAATGTAAAAATATTATTCAGAATGATAAGTATATAGGCTATATAACTACTAGAGTATAATTGGCATGATGCTAGAACTGTCTGATTACATATTTATGAAATGCAGCTGCCAAAAAGAACAGTGATGTAGCTGGAACTGGGGGCGGGCCACCACCAACACCCTTAACTCCTGTTCTTGGATCGTGTGTGTCATCGTTCTTGGACCTGAACAAGGGGAGGCCAGTCATTGAGGGAATAGAGGGGGAACAGCTTCTGAAACCATACCACCTAATAGAAGGAGTGACTTCATAAAAGGTTGATATATAGGTTTTTGCTTTTTCTTGACAAAATCTTTGCTCTAACATGTTTTGTTTCATAGTGATGGCAAATTCTGGGTGCTTGTTGGAGCCACCAGATGTCCTGTTGAACCCTGTGAGTATGTGAAAGTTTAAAGCACTTATTTACTGTCAATGTTAAGTGGTGATCATTAACCTCAGTTTCATTATTGGTTTTAGGATGAAGACCCATCTACAATTGAGGATTCACATCATATATCTAAAGGCCTACTTGTGTGGTGAGGTGCTCACAGTACATATTTTCCAAACATTATTGGCTGCAGGACACTGACATCCTTCCAGAAACCAGTCAGACTGGAACTACAGGAGACAATGTAGGTTTTATTAAATTTGAACATGGTGTCGAGAGCATGAAATAATAGACATTTTGGGTTCTACGGAATGAAAAAAATATAAAAAGTGTGTACAAGCACTACCTCCTTAAAGAAATTGATGTTATGGATGTAGACATTCAATATAAGAAGTTGAAGATGAGAAAGCTGGAGCTGGAAATCCAAAAACTGGAGAAAGATGCAAGTAGAACTGTTGTAATGAAACATTGACACCTGACATTTTGGTCACCATTTAATTGTGTTTTGTTTTCCTTCTCCAACAGGCAGCTTTAAATTGAAAAAAAACAAAAAAACAAATTATGTGACGTGTGTCTTGTGTAATGAAATTGAGGGGAAAGTTGGGGGCTACAAACATAAAATTAAAGCCTTCACATGACTTGAAAAATATAATGCTAACCAAAATAATTATTTGCATAAATGTCTCTTATAACCCTGCCTGTTTCATTGTCATCAAAAGCCACCTCATTGCCCCAGTCCTCCTCTACAACCATCCTTGGTGGCCTCTCTTTTCTGAAGCTGGCAATGGTATGGAGCACAACACAACCAACAATAATGTCACATGCCCGTTGTGGAGTCACTCGGTGGTGGTTCAGGCACTGGAACCTTGATTTGATGAGACCAAATGCCATCTCTATACGAGTTCTTGTGCGTGCATGGGCAAGGTTATAGTTGCGTTGTGCCTGTGTCTGGGGTTCCTGATATGGAGTCAGAAGATAAGGCAGGCAGGGATATCCCTTGTCTCCCACCAAAACTCCTGAGAATTCACCTGGATAGAGTAAAAATGTATTCTTTTGTAATTACTAATTGGTGAATTTTTTTTTTTTTTTAAACCTGTACATTTTCCATTAATAACCTACCTTGTGCCAGTTGCTGGGCAACAGAAGAGGCTCGAAATATTCTGGAGTCATGGGTTGAGCCTTTACATTAGTGATGACACACTCTGCATCACAGATCATCTGGAAGAAAAAAATGTAGGTCACTAAACTGCAGTTACAGCATCATAAGAAAACGTCTATAAAGAGGGATGTGGGTAACTTAATTTAAACTGTGGAGAAAATCAGAATACAGCTACAGTATTTGAAGAGATTAGTGTAATTTGTATTGAACGGATCATAACTCATATGCCCATCTTAATATATAGCACAACCTATTCAGTTGTAGCCTACAAAACAATTTCAGTGGCACTATACCTGCACATTTATACTGTGTACTGATTTCCTGTTAACAAAGTCTGCTTCATGCGGACCAGATGGACACTTTATACGCACGTGGGTGCAGTCCAGCCCCGACAACATTTGGGAAAGCTACAAAAGTTAATTAAAAGGATTTACCTTCCACTTGTCACCTTTAACATAAACACTCAAAAATATTTTCGATTCCTATACAATTATTGTTTAAACTTACCTGCAATTCCATAAAAGGCCTGTTTAATGGTACAAATGACTTTGTGACCAGGGAAGGTGATGAACACATTGAGCAGTCTTTTTTAAAGACAGGTACACCACTCGCACAGAGCGGCAAACTGATGATTTGATGAAATTTTCTGCATCTCCAACGGTATATAGAAATGTTCCACTCGCAAAAAAGCGAAGCGCTATACAGACAGTCTGTGGTACAGTGAGCGCTTTATTGCGGCGTGTGTTATGTGCAATGTATGGTCTCAGTAATCTACAAATATATAAAATCCCTTCTCTCGAGAACCTGTACCGCTCATACAGGTAGCTGTCGGGAAAAGCCAAAGGGTCTGACCTGTCCCTGAAAGTACGCTGTCTTTGGAATGCTCTACGTATTATGAGAGCTCCCTCATCCACCACCTCATCAATGAAAGGACACGCCATGATTCATGAAGTACGACACATTTGTTGAGGTTGAGTTTTTATGAGAAACTAACACCCACCATACACATTTAACTTAGTAACTTTATTTATTTACAGTACATTAACGATGCATTTTAAAACATGATTTCTTAATGTTGATTTCATAGTATTCCCTGCAGGTCATTGATAGAGGAACTCTGGTTAAGCGTCAACTCGGGCTTAGCCTGACAGTTAGCCTGCCCCAGACCAGGTTAGTTTCCCAGCAAAAGTTGCCACAGTGACTGAGCTTGAGCTATGGTCATTTTGCTTTATGGAACCAAATCAAGTGAAAATAAGTCAGACTAACTGAAATAAGCCTGGCTTATTTGGTAAACTTGTTTTATGAAACAGCCCCCTGAACAGAATAATACAATCAACACAACAAGGGAAATGGTGCAAAAAAAATTAACAGAAACCGTGACAGTAAGAGTACAATCATTATAGTGCACTTCTGTTTTTATGCTGCACAGCACACAAAAAAAAAAACTGCCATTAAAAGCGTTTCAAAAAATAAATTGCTGCGTATGTAGCCTTCTTAAGACTCACATCCAGATCACCCTGCATCAGTTAACTGTGTTGCATCCTACTAAAAGTAGCCGAATTCTATTAGGCCATATTTACAATTTCAAGCTTCCATTTCAATTAGCCAGTGTCGAGTGTTACAACCAAGAAGTGGCCTCACTTGTCAAGTGTTACAACCAGA